CCTTTGCCCAGCCCATCATGATGGACATTCCTGGGAAGCAGTCAGGCTGCCGCGCTGAAGACGGGTGAGGTAGTGGGCTAGGCAGACCGCAAGTCTCCAGAGCAATTTGGAGATGGAAAAAGCAACTGGCAAGGAAGCAGATTAGATGAAGCCAGTGAGTCACCTTTTCATCTCTGCCTTGCTGCACTCAACGATTAAAGCCACGGTTGCTCCGTCTGCAGCTCCTCTTATGACAGCAACCCCTGCTTTCAAAGGCGCAAGCAAGGACATGTGAAGCGAAGACGTCTCGCGGAGACATTCGACTTAATTGACTCTCCTTCTAACACGATTTGCAGCTTCTCTTGCAAACACCAGCAAAACAAGGGGAGGGGAAGAAAAAAGCCAAACTGATTTCACATCTAGTCCTAACATCTAAGCCTCTCTCCACAGCACTGCCGCCCCGTGGGACTGACAGGGCGTCTTGCGGCAGGCCCAGGACCAAGCCCACGTATGGACTGGCTCTAAGGTTCATCCTGTGCCTTGTTTTCACACTGCTCCTCCGCTATCTCATTGGGTTTTTACAAGGTAGGGAAAGAGAATTTTACTTGGAGCTGTAAAATACACGTAAAAGAACCAGGGCTCCCTGCTTGGAGGCAATGAACCTATGACCATGCATGGTCTCCCTGATGGTGTCTCCAAGCTCTTCAAGACCCATTAAAATGCCTAAAGTAACAGAGCAGAGAGGTGACCATAACACTGCAGTTCCAGTTCCATCCTGAAGCACTGGCCCACGAGGCCATGGCCACTACACCCTCCCTCATTTGCAAGGGGTTTCCCTCAGCCAGGAGGCCCAGGTTGGATCCTGAAGCCCTGGACTGTGCCATACCTCTCTGCAGCAGCCGTAGGAGAGGTCACCACCTCACCATCTCGCATGGTGCAGGCCTGTCTTGCACAAGACGAAGCCTCCAGGACCTTTAACACAACCAACCACCAAGAAACACCAGCTACACATCGTGTTCCTTCAAAACTCCATTTCACTACTGATCATCTCATGCTCTGACTAAAGCTGAGCTGAATCTCTACAAAACCCAACACAACTGGGTCTCTTGATATAATCTTAGAGTTTCCCATCACCATTTCCTTCAACTGACCAGACATTTCCAAAAAAACCCAAGCGTGGAGCCGCTAAAGGCAGATTTTCCACGGACTTCTTGCAAGGCTGAGCTACCTAGTAGACTCTCTGATGTCTGAGGCACGAGTTCACATCACAGCTTTTCTGTTATCTTGGCCAGTTATACCTCTGAAGCCCACTAACCCTCAGTGAAACAGGGCTGAAACAGGCCAGAGGAGTCAGAAATTACAGGGGAAATCAAAGACGGACACAATGACGGAACGTCTGCCCGTCTCATCAGGCTCGAAGTTCCTGCCCAGCTTTTTATGCCGTGCCTTCTCCACAAAAACAAAACCTCCCGCGACTGGGCAAACAACACAGAGAAGACAGGAAATTCGTCTGAGGGGAAGAACAGGGCACAGAACAGGGGTTGAAGGGAACCGCGYGCTTGAGGGAAGCATTTTTTTATGAAGCATCGCTATCAAACGGAATCGGGAGGAGTTAATGCATCAGAGGGAGACCTCTCATTACCCAACTGGCTGGCATCCAACGCAAACCCACAGGAACCACATCTGGCTTTGGAGCACACTAAAACGAGCACATAAAATGCTTCTGCCGTTTGACAAGTGGCAAGCAGAGCAGCTGCTCCACACCCAGAGACGGAGGCTGCCTCTCCTGCCTCGCTGAGGGGGCTTGTAGAGGTGGCACCCCAATTCAGAAGCACCCTCAAGTTCCTGCCGTTTATTACATAAAACGGGAAAGGGGCGGATTTGGGGCGGTGGAGCATCACCCCGGCACATCTGCACGCCTCCAGCACGATGGGCTCCGGGTCAAGTTYCTCCAAATCCCGCCTGATGCTGGAGCTTGCGTTTCCAGTGGAAATTCGACACAGGGAATTTACAACGCGCTGGACAGACGCAGAGGCCTGGAGTAAGGAACGCGCTCAAAGCCGCCTAAGAGGTTCACTTGCTAGAGCCCAGAGTGAAATTCTTCGAGTGCTGGAGACAGATTTTCCTTGGCGACAGGCCACAATTGTCGATCTGGCTTCTGAGAGAGATCCGAATGGCTGTGGATTGCAGCGACTTCAGAGACAAATATAAAACCTTCTTCTGCAACCAACTTGCTTATAATAAACCCACGAAAATGAAAAACTAAAACACTTCCAGCTGGCTGGAAGCTCTGGAGAGCACAGGGAACTTATTGCATCTGCTGGCTCGGGGCTCCCTTCAAGCCCCCTGAAACTCTTGGGGGTGCTGGACATCCAAGTGCCTAAGTATCTTCTGCAAGCAAGGTGCAGAAGGGTAAATTATTTAGGCACCTCTCACATTTTAGCAAGGTTATTTATGGACCCAAGTTTCCATCAGGTTTCTAACATACACCAGAGAGTGAAAAAGCACAAAACTTAAATTTAAGGGGAAAAAAAAGTAACTACTGCTCCCTTGTAAAGCCTTAAATATTTGCGTAGCCCTGCTAGATCATTCTTTGATGAAGACTTTCTCAAAAAGATCCAAGATGTGACTTGGTTGATATTATAACTTCATTAAAGGCCTTTATGGATTTAGGTTTGTCCCGGGATTCAAAGGGAAGTTGCTTTTTAAATTACTGTCTGCTCTAGAACAGTTTCAGTGGCTAGTACGGATTTTCCTCGTACATCTGAAATCAGTCTACAAAACAAGAGAATAACTATTTGTGTTTTCAGGGCTGGACTCTTTTCCTCTTGACCCCATAATAATGAATTTACATCCAATTTTGCTGAGCGCAAGGGGAAAATCTGGCTCTCTTTGTACAAGGGATCTTACATTCAAGTCTAGCACACTGACTGAGGAGAAATTCTGATGCACTTAGCAATGGTATTTAAACAGGTTTTATTTTTCATTATAGGACTCAGTATTTGAGATAGAAAATTCCTCTACCTTATCACTATATTCCTCTACCATTTTACATTTGATTGTACTAGAACTAATTTTAGTCAATGCCTTAAAGCAACTTAATCCCACGTTACTTTGACAATTTTATCTACAGTTGCTTTGGAAGAACCCAAAGTTACTCAAAGACATTGAGACAGCCAGAAACTGAAAAGAGACAGGGAAGAGGAAGAGCGCAATGTCTAAAAAGAGGAACCTAAAGCAAGGGATGACCTCTTTGTGCTGCACCTTCATCCATCCAGATGTTCTCCCCAACGGGCACAATACTCTGCCTGGAGCCACACAGCTCTACTGCCCAGAAGAACACCTAGGACGGCCTGTTTCCACCTGAAACTCAACAGGACCGAGCTCTCTTGGCGTCGTTCTGACAAGCTGATACCTTTAAATGACATAAAAAGCGGGGACTACCTTCAAAAACCAAGACAAAGATGCCCTGGACAAAGAAGAGTATTGGACAGAGGAAGAAGAGCCGTAGAGGACTGCTGTTTAGCTCTCTCTTCACCCGGTCCCAATTCCTTTGGCTGTGTTTTGCACTTATGAACCGTACAAGCATTTCACATAGCCCAGCCTGCTGCTAATGCACTGGCTCAGAGCAGCTGAACCTCGCAGAGCATTTTTAAAGCATTTCATTCTTCCAAAAGCCACAGCTTTCCTCTTCAAAATCCCCGCATTCATGTCTTCGTGCTTGGAAAAGGACCAAACCCTCCACATTTCCTTACGCCCAGGAGGTTGGGAGCGCATTGCGTAGGGCAGTCAACGAAGTGCCAAGAAGCTAATGAAGATGAAAGTGTCAACGCAGGGCGACGGTAACACGCACCTTTCCCATGTAGCTCCCGTGACCATGTCTGCACGCCRTTAATCCCACGCCCAAGGAGGAAACCTGAATCTCAACATGATTAGCAACCTTCCTGCTGCTCCGTGGAAGTGTCAAGGGATGACAGATTGCATGGCACATCAATTGGCTTCAGGGACGTTCTCAAACTGTTACGGGTTAAAAGCGGCTCCAGCGTGAATCCGAGGCGTGGTGGTGAGGAGCTCATCGATACAAGGGATTATGCAGATTTAAGAAATAGCCCCGGCACCCGAAAGTTTTCAGAATGCAAACTACGTCAACCCTGAAAACAAGAGGCACTGCATCATGATGGCAGGAGGGACAAAGCCAGGGGGGTTTAACAGACAAAAAAAGATTGTTTTAATAGAAGAGAAGCATCAGTCATTGAGTCTAACTTCATTCAGAGTTGCTCTCCAACCCATCCATCTTCGGTGCCAAGAGATGACAGGACCACCTCACTTTTCCCCCCCAGCCCAGTGTATCAATAATGCCCGTTTCTACCCCCAACAAATGGCTCGCCAGAATGGTGCTTTTCCCTGACTTGGCTTGCCAAGCCCCGGCGAGTGCCTGGGTACCTGCCCTGCTCAATGGGGCTCGTGGGGGCCCCTTGAGAGGTGGGCACCGCTGGGTGGAGCCTCTCCCCGTCATCCTCCTCCAGGGCCGCTTTGTCATTCCCGGCTGGGGAGCATCTGCGAAGAGGGGAYGGCCGAGGGGGAGGACAGCGGGAGACAGGCAGAATCCCCCCGCACGGACACACACACACACCACACAACGCCGAATGCAAATGCCTTCGGCCTTGCGAAAACGCTTTATCTGCGAACAAAAGCGGCGCGGGCAGCGGGCGCTGGCACCTGCTCCCTGTTGGAGGCTCTCGGAGGTGTCCTTGGGCCATGGAAGGCAACCACGACACGCCAGCTCCATCCCACTTGAGCTCCACCATGGGTCCCGGTCACCTCCAGCACCTGGAGGAGGCCGGAGGGCTCGAGGCCTAGATGGGGAGCAGGAGGGGGAGCGCGTTGGGAAGGGGTCCCAACGTAGGGCTCGGGCGTAAACCACCGACGCCGTTTCCCCTCCTCTCCCTTCCCTTAAGACCTGATGGTCTTCAGTCACACATCTTAAAAGAAAAACAAAAAACAAAAACACAAAGACTTACTTGTCTCAAGTCGATGAAGGCCAACTGCAGCGTGTCCCCTTGGAACCCAGGCACTGGGCCGGATCTGGCAAACTCTGTGGGAAAGAAAAGAGGATAAAAAGCGCCTTTAACTAACCATGGACAGGGAGATTGGCAGACGGATGACAGGGAAGACAAGAGAGGCTGGGGGAGAGGAGGACCGCGCTTCTAAGGAGTCATGTCTCCCTCCCTTCAGCTTCTTTGTTTGCCCTTCAAAATTCGTGTCATCAAAACACCATTAATTCCACCGTCCTGACAGCAAGGAAACTGTACTAATTCGACCTGAAATTTATTCCCATGAGCCGCACTGGGCTTCAGAGTATTTGTTTTGTGAATGGACAAACAACTCGCGGAGAAGAAAAGGGGGGATGGGGGTGGAAAAGTTTTTCCTCTCGCCACAATAAAATCTTCAGCTGTGAAGCTCCTTTCAGTTCCGAAAGCTATTTATATTTTAGGGCGCTGAAGGAATTTTCTAATTTCACGCCTGTCACCAGGCTCCATAAGCATTCATCAAAAAAATATGCCCAGCCGCGCCGTTAATTATGCGGCAGCAGATTATTTGCATTATCTGGTATGGCGCGTGATTGCCGCTGCTCCGTCACCCCAACGGGAAGGGCCGCCGCCATCCGGCGGCATATTTATTTCTTGGGGATGAAGACATCTGACAAGTGAATGCCGTTGGCTTCCAAAGCCAAGCGAACGCCTTCATGGCCACATTTACCTCCTTCTGGTGCAATCTGGCCACAAATCCACGCTTAAGTCATTTATTTTTCTTCTGTTTTGTTGTTTAAAGCAAGTCTGAAACCACTAAGGGGGACTACTACAAATCCGCTTGAGAAGACCTTAGTTCTTGCACGTCACTTAACGGCTTGTACTTGGTAACGTCCATAAAGCCAATGACTGCTTGTGTTCAGGTGTGTGTTTTGAGGATATGTCTGCGGTGGGTTTTGCCCAACTTGGCTACATTTTTGTCARGTCTTTATTGCCCAATTATTCTATTATTTTCCATCCGGAAGCCTCAAAGTAGCTTCTGCAGCTCCACAAGGCTAAGGAAGAAGGAAGGCTCCACAACAAGAAAGGAGGATTTTGTCTTCTGTCTTCATGATTCCTCAGAGGTCCCAGGAGACAAAACGTGCCCTTTCCTTAAACACTAAGTACTAACACTACACTTGATCTTAGCCAAAACACTGAGAAGYAGAGTCTCCTCACACCAGATGGTCTTCTCGAATGCTTCTCCACCCAGTGGTTATCTCATTTTCAAGCAAATGCCAATAAAGAAGKAATAAGGTCATTGAAAAGACCTATTTTTAAAGATATCCTGTAGTAGGCCAGTCATATAAGCAATTCCCTCACACCAGACATACGATTAAGACAGGATTTAGGCCTGTTCCTCAACTGCTTTCTTTTTGAAAGCCAAAGAAAGATTACTTGTTGGCTTTCTTGCTGCAACTTTCATTAAAATCTTGGGATGAAGAACATCCTTCAGTGTAGACACAGGTATCCCCAGGGACASAGGGGCCAGTTTTCAGCTTTACTTCTAAATAATTTCAGATGCCAGAAGAGCTCCAAGATTGAAAGGATCACTCATCTTTGCACAGAGCACTCAAGTGATTCTGCTGCAGGACAATGAGAGCGTTTCTCTTTACAAAGTTAAAGCAAACTTTGTTTTAACATCTAGACACACTGATTAAGAAATACAGCTTCAAAAAACCCAATATTTTATCCAATCTTACTACTAGAAATAGATAACAAAAACTAAAAATAAAAATGATATATGTGAGTGTTATCATTTAGACCTTGAAAAGGAAAAATCCCTAGACAGAGCCTCAACATGAGCTCGAATTCCAGGTGAAACCCTGCACAGTTCCACAGATGGACTTTTTGTCTCTTCTGCCCAAAATGCGACTGGACAGAGAAACCGTTCGGTTTCCAGCCAGTTTCCCCAACCAGGGCTGCAGTGTTTAGGTTGCGAATAACCCACAGTGATTTACATTTAAGCTCAAAGCTGCTTTAATTAATTCTCCCTCTACAGTCATTTTAATGTGCGCTCGCTATAAAATTTGATTGTAATTTGCTGAGCCAGAACACACACGCAAGGGAGGACGAACCCACAGGCTTTCTGACTCTGATCTGCGAGGGATAAATCATCTTTACACATTTGTTACACGCTCTCCGTCTCATCTGGAAAAATCCTCCCAAAAGCCACATCAATCCTAAAACACCCCCACTTTGGAGAGGCACGTACCTAAGAATTTGAGAAGAAAAAAAGAAGAAAAAACTATTAGATGTGAGAAATAGCTTCCTAGCTTCCACTCATGAGATGAAACCACCACGGGCTGGCTGATGCTTGCAGTGGGTTGAGGTACRTAAGAAGGGACTGCCTGACTGCTGCCTCCCACGCTCCACGGATGGGGTCATGCCATGTTACTAATTACGCTTGAAACAACATTGGAAAACAAGAACCCTACAGAGATTCCACCAAAACCAGCCTTCTGTTTTAAAGGGCTTTGCTGCTGTTTGAAACCCTAGCAGAAGCCCACGTGGGCTTGCGAAATGGAGGATTTTCCCAAAGATGTGAATTTCAAATGCTCGTGGATGTTTTTCACAAGACTGGTGACTCTATCGTTTTTGTCATCGGTCATCTATACGCTAAGATGGATTTACTGCCAAGATGTGGTTGCCCATTAGCAGCTCACCTTTAGTTGTCTCCTGCTGAGCAACCATGCTGGAGCAACCCTAGGAATTACACAAGCAACGCTGTGCTGGTACTATTCTTGGTCTTTATGACCCAACATGGTCATTATGACCCAAACAGTCAAACATGGTCTTTATGACCCAAAATCTGCTCAAACAGACTCATAAAAGAAAGGACAGGGGCCTCTCCCACCTTAGCAATGCCCTTGACATCCAAGAGGTGAACCTCCTGTTGTACCACTGGAGAATCCAGCCATGTCCTATTTGCATCACAGGAGAAATGAGCTGGAGAATAGGGATCACAGAGCAGAAGAAAGCTGCTGTGGCAACTGCCCGCGAGGAGCCAGGAGAGGCCTGAATGCAATGCTTCACGCCACGGCTGCTACAAAACTGGTCGTATCTTCGGTAATCGTAGGTCACGGCTTACATACCAATGCCACAAACTTATTTTGCCCTGAGAAAGGGATAAAGTCTTAAAAGAAAAGAAAAGGAACAAAGAAGAGAACAGAGCTTTAAAGGAAGGACACAGCCAGTTCTTCTTGGTTTTAATCTCTTCAACCAGATTTCAGGATAATTTTCGCGGAACAACCGAGCACAGTGCTGGCCTCAGTACTGTCGGATCCGCTCATTGTACTTGCCCCACTACCAAGGCAAGGGGCAAACATAGCAAGCCACCTACCCTCGAGCAGAAAATCACGGGAGAATAGGGCAGATCAGTATGCGCCTGTTTGTACAAAGCATTTAGCCAGGCGAAAGGTTTGAGAGACTTGTGTTCAGGCCAAAAAAGTAATGTCTTTGCAAGGTCTACAGGCTTGGGCCACCCAGGGCAGGTCACAGAGGGACTCTAACCTCTCTTCCAAAACATTTCAGCAATGAAAGAACCAAGGAACAGGAACCGTTAAGCCCTTTACAATGAACAAAGAATAAAGAGTTCAAACAAACACGAGAGAAAAGGCGCCCACTGTAAATCAGTTATACAAAACGGGAGAATCTCTTTTTTATATCCTGCGCGTAGTTCTACACACCAGGACCAAGGGTGTCTTACACAYGCTGCGTGGTTAAAACACACCCAGCCCTTGGTTATGTTATCTGGTATACAGCAGGTTAGCAGCTGGCTGCGTTTCCTTCCTCAGGAACGTCTTTCGGAGGGTAAGATTCACTCTGATTTATGTGACAGCGCCAGAACGTAGGATGGTAAAACGTAGGCAACGGGATCATGTCGCTCGCACACAAGGAGGCCATCCCAAGGCTCCAAGAACTGAAGCTCCACATCCCGTCACGCCAGCCTTGGACACACTCATGTGCACCCAGCCACATCCTTGTATGGCTCCCATCAGGATTACAGAAGAGGAAGCCCAAGAGACATTTCTGGGCCGCAGGACTTTGTGGTTAGGACTCGGCTTGTGCATTTGGAGAAGCAATGACCTCATATTCATTAACAAATGAGGTGGCATATCCCACAGCAGTCTTCCTTAGACAAGGTCTCAGAAGACTCTTAGGAAAAAAACAGTGCCAGAATCTCTCACAGCTCAACAAGAGAGGCAAAAGTCACCTCCTGAGAACAGTCCAGCTAAAGAACAGATCTCTTCATGGAATACGGAGAAGCTCACGAGGAAAAGAAAAGGTGAGAAAAGATGAGTAGCAATTTGGGCGATAGAAACAGACAGAAGGTGTTTCGGGCAGAAGTCCTACTGTTCTCCTTACAGTTTCCATACTGAGATTATATTTCAGCAATGTAATTTCCAGGACAAATGATCAAAGTTCATCCCCATCTGTGGAATTTCTGAGAACTGCAGGAAGAAGGAGCAGTTATTCAAAATATTACATTGAGCTGGATCAGGTTATCAAAAAAAAAAGTCCTTGTCTGTCCTTTGCTCCTCTCATGAAACGGAGAGGAGCCTGGATTCCCATTGGTTTGCAGAGATGGGTGGTCCGCAGGGATGTCCTGGACTTCAAGTACCGACCAGGCTGGTTGAACATCCGCAGCACCAGAGAGGGACACCTGACAGTTTGGCCAGCAGATGTTTCAGGGCAGAAGAAAAGGCAACTCTTCAGATGAAACTGCAAGAGTTGTGTGCCAGGAAAATTCCTATCTGCAGGAGACGGCAACAGAACTGAGCTACAGATCCATGCAGGTTCTCGAGATCTATGCAGGTTCCCAAGCCTGTAACCCAAGATGTACAAGGAAAGTCTTTGGACTGTTATGAAGCTCTCAACTCCCATGAAATACGAATGTGAGGAATGAGGACCTCTGGAAATCACCTCAGCAAGTRGAAAAGGTTCATAAACACCAACAGTGTGTGTCTGTGTTGGTGAGGATGGGAAGGTTGGTGAGCAGCTGGGGAACCGTTTAGCTAAACACCAAGCTCAGAAAAATTTATAAATTAAAGGAATTAAGCATAGATTGGTCTTGAAGCTGAAAAAGTAACCTTATAGAATGACAAGCAATAAAAGAAGAGAGGAAGCAAGTAACAGGAGAAGGCCAACTAGTAAAACTCCCATCTCTCTGTATAAAGCAAAACTGAAAACATTTTAGAATGAAAACATTAGTTTAGACCACAAGAAGACAAAATCTAGTGTTATATAAAAGGACYCTCATTTTGCCATTAGTTTCTTTCCGTTGCTTTTCACTTGCTGAGAAGAGGAAGCAAGATGTGAGGATTTTCAGGGATCCAACTCACGCTCTCCAAGTCGTTTAGTCAGGGCAGAGAGAAGCATCTCCTCTTCCTAAAGCGAGCTGCAAAGGACTATGGAGATGGGCTAATGTCAGGCAAGGGCCCTGGCGACCCAGGAGAGCACAGCAAGGTGTTGGACATGGAGGATATCCCAAATGCTGCAGCAGGAAGAGCAAGTGAGGGAGACTGGAGGAGACCCTGAGAYGACCCAGACTTGCAATAGGCTATTAAGGGAGACGGGAGAGAAGGAGAATGTATGGACAACCGCAAAAGCTAAAATGCTGAACAAAATACCCCCSAAAAGGGATGTTTTTAATAGCTCATTGATGGAGAGTCCTGCGCTTCTCCTGGATGCATATTTAGATGCACTAAGTCACYGGGAATGACTTTCCCCACTGGCATGAGGCCTCCACAACCCTACAAAAGGTCATCTGAGGAAAACACAGGCAACACTAAAGGCATGAATGATACAGCCTAGGGAGAAAGTCATGGAAAAATTAGGGGGGATAAATGCAGGAAAGTGCAGGAAAGCAGCTGAGCCACCAGCCAGAGCACCCTATTTCCCTTCCCTCYATCATTCCACATGGCACCAACCCAMCATTCCCGCCCAGGAAAGCACATCCTGCAGCAGCGATACCAACCACGTCACTCGCTCTACCTGCATGAGAATGCCAAGATTTGCCTCCTCAAAGGTAAGTTTTGGTAGGAGAGGAGGCAGGGAAGGAAGGGCTCTGCTTTTCTCTCCCCTTCCCAGGGAATTCTGCATTTGCCGCTAGAATTGGGAGCGACAGATAGGCCTGGAGAGATCTTTTCCTGGGAAAAAGAAGCCTGGGATCCAGGCRAGGAGGTGGTGGCAACAGCTGCCCTGGGTCCCGGCTCTTTCCGGAGGGTTTCCCGCAGGATGCCCCAAACCGGCCGGCGCATCCGAGTGTCTCCCGGGCTTCACCCAGGAGCCGGCTGGGTGAAAACGCAGCCTTTAACGAAACTTTACATGTAATTTTATGGCAATTTCTCACAAAGCAGCAGTCAAACGGCTTTAGAGATTAGGCAACTGCTTATTTTACGATCTAGGTATTGTAAAAACAATCTGCCTTAACCGCCCTTGGAATCGGCGACATGGACTTGAAATGCTTGTGGGAGAGCAGCTGCGTTGCTTTTCCCTTTTTTTTCCTCCAAAATAATCCCCACTTGCGGCTCATTACATTAAATTCCCTCTACCTCCAAGGTATACAAGATATAGGGAAATATATATATATATTTATATATAAATTTATAAATATATATTATATATATAAAGAAACAGGAGGTCCTAAAGAGAGCAGAGCACACCTCTAGGCTAAAAGACCCGCTCCAATTTTTTAAAAAAAAACATTAAAATCCCCCATTAACCTTAGGTTAAAGAAGCATTTTGGACATGGCAACCAAACTCATTTTAGAAAGCAGGTGCCTATCCCTAAAGAAATACCAGCCCTCTATTTACAGACTCACCAAAATATTTGCCTTATTTCTTTTCCCCTCCAGGGTTTTCTTTTTTTTTTTTTTTCCTTTTAAGTCAGCTCAAGGGGCTGGAGCCAGAGCTCACTCCTAAATTGAGACGTAATTAGAGGTGTCCCGCTGTGTCTTGCTGGACAATTCATTTAACCGGCCACGTCTTAAGCCTTAAATAAGAGGCGGGCGAACTCTCTTGCCTGTGCAGAAGAGTGATAGAAAGCTGGGAAATAAGAAGAATTGCAAATGCAAATAATAACAGTATGAAAATGTGACTTCAGACGCCCTTATACACATACTGCTCATGTCAAAACGGCTTTCAATGCCCTGGGACTATTAATGTGCATCTCAGGGACCATCTTTTGGCCAGAAAAAGAGCCCTTTGGCTGCTACATGTGGCACTGTGCTGGTGGCAGAAGCCTCCCCATCCAGAGGAAATAAAGCTGTGGGAATACGGCTATTATTATTAATAATAATAATTATTATTACTTACAACTTCTAAAATCTCACAGCTCAGTTCTTCCTTGCCTCTTGCACCCCAGCAACTCTGCTGCCCCGGAATTCCCTGGAAAGAGCCCCAAAGAGCTCCAAAAACCTTACTGACGCCTAAATAAAAACATACCAAATAACACAAATGATAAATAAACGGTAAGTGCTGGCTCAAGCTGCAAAACAGACGAGGCTTTGGAGTCGGGCAGAGGGTAGGAGGCAGCCTGAGGAGTCGAATGCACAGCTAGAATAACAGGGACGCTGAGATTTGCACCTGCACTTTGAGGTAACGAGAATTAAAAGAAAACCCTTGTGAGGAGCAACGCTGCCATTGAACGTTAAGGAGCTCTGGGTTTCATCTTCCAAAAACAGTTGCCTCCAGATCCCGGGGGATTTAAGGAATTGCGCTTTTAAAGCCTGTATTGAATGTCCCCCGGTTCACTTAGCGCCGGGGGCTCTCCGGGAGGAGATGCTGCTTAGTGACCCAAGGTACCAGAGAGCTGCAGGGTTGCAGRTGGGTTTGCAGCCCGAAGAATCAAGGGCCAAATTCTTATTAATGCTCATTAATTAGCATTATTAAGGCTTATTAATTAGGTGGATGCTTCTTACAATTGGCAGCAACATGGACTCTGCGGACCAGAGCTGCTGCCAGCGGAGCCGGGATCTGCAGCCAGGACACACATTCCATGGAAGACCCTTCTGGAAGACCCTTCTGGAGGAAGAAGGAAGCATTGCTTGGATTATGACAAACAATATTGCAGATTTGGGCTATGAAGCATTAAATGTGGAGCCTCTGCCCACTCTATTCAAAGGTGAGAGATGAGAATGAGCAGCAGGACGTGGCCATTCCCCTGTCACTAGTAAACACTTCACTGGGTGGCCTTCCTCAGAAACACTTTTAATCTCTTAGTAGTTGCCTCTGGTGGGTGCTGCTTAACTTCACCATGATTAGCGAGACTTCTCTTAAAGGGCAAAGATATGATGTCGGAGTCAACCACAGAGTGATGATGGAATAAAAGAACTGGGTTCACCGAATAAACGGAGTTTCCAAAGATGGATCAAGCTCAACACCAGTGTAGGCTCTGGAACCATTGCCACCAAAGCCAGGGACAACCGCCATGGAGTTTAACCAGGCCAAGGAGCCTCTCARGTGACTCTGCGGGAAAGACATTCATCATTTCCTCAGTTATTTCCAAGGTCTGTTCCAGCCTCCAGGGCAATCAGGAAAGCCAAAGAGGTGGGTACGTGGGATCGACTTTCCCAACCCCTTTTTCCCCCTTCTCAAATTAAAAGCTTTCTTGACCTCTTTATCAACCCGGGAACTGTACGGAGCCTGTATCAAGCTCAGCATTTTCCACAGACACCGACCCTTTGATATTTTCACAAGTGGCCACAGAACATAATATGCCAGGCTTTAAATAGCACGCAGCTCCAAACCGGAACGGAGGCCAAGACGGGCTCAAAGGAACGGCTGTTTTCTCCCCAAAAAGAAGGTGCCGTCCTGCCRAAGCTCTAGGATGACCAAGCCCGGGCAGACGGAGCTCCAACAGCAACACATGCTGCGGCGAAAGGCTCCATCCGACCACACTCCCATATTTTTGTGGGTCGGGAACACCACGGCCTCACAGTTGGCCCCTCATCTTCATGGCTCACGCAGTGTGTGGTTACTGATCTCCCTGGCCACTTTTTTGTTTGTTTTGGGTTTTTTTTTTTTTTTTTTTTCATTTTTGGACCTTCAGAAACATGCTGAAAACAGGAGAAACCTCCCCTGACCTATGCACTGCTCCACCTAGCAAACCCAGAAGGTTCTGGGGTGACATTTGAGGGTTTTGCTGTACAACCTGCCTGGAGAACTGCACGGTGCTCCTCCTACTGCTCTACAGCATGGAAGTTTTTGAGCTTCACCAAGCACCTGAGAATGACCCATGTGGGAGGCTCCTGAACACGGGCAATTTTTAGCCCTGTTTTGCACTGAATTTTAAAAATAAGAAGGACAGAAAAGAACGGTCCTGTCAGTTCTCATCCACATTTTGTTAACACCTGTGGAGAGCAGGATATTAAGCAGTTTCAGGGGGATCTTAGGATTTGTCCCACAGCGTATTCAGGTGTTAGCTCGATGAACCAAAGTGAGCAGGGTCAAGTGCAGACCACATTTTTGGTACCTATGATGCCCACGTGCTAAATTGTGGAACCTCTCCAATTATTTTACTTACGAGACATCTTGCTTTCTGTAAGGGCAACCAAGCAAAAGGGCTACGCTCTGAGAAAACAAATCCCCGCAGCAGATAGAGAAGAGGAACCAAAAGCTGAGGTCAGGAGAGGACCAGAACTTCTTAAGATCATCAGCCAGTTATTGTTTTCAGAAACAGACTCGAGGAGACTGATTTTTGTTAGCCCCGCTGAAGCCTTATCCGCCCTAACGCTGCCTATTTTTAACAGAACCAATCTCAAAAAGCCAGGGCTTGTCTGGAAAGTATTACTGCCCCATTTCAAGGGAAAAAGGAAGAGTAAAGCTTTGATCCCTTAGAATTGCCTGGCTTTTCTTCCRTCCTGAAGATACTTCCAAGCGTCATGGAGAGGAGCACGCTGGAAGCTCCAAGGACTCGGAGCTGCTCCCTAGGTCGAGTCCTGGCCGTGCCAAGCGGAACGCGGGGGGGAAACGGGCGGCTTTGCGTCTTACGTTCGCACTCCTCCACGTCCAGGTTGAACTGCTGCAGGGCGCCCAGCGTGAGCTGCCGCACTTCGGCCTCCAGCAGCAGCTGCATCAGCGACGTGGCGAGGTGCTTGCACGCCGACATGCACGCCGTCTGCGCCACCTTCCCCTGCAAAAGCAAGCACAGMTTAGCAAGGCTGCACCCCACCATCTCGAAGGGCTTTTCCAACCGTAATGGTTCTAGGGGTGCCCTCCCTGCTGCATCCCACCTGCCCAGAGGCCTCCAGGTAGCATTCAAGAGGGCAAAGCCCCTCCTGGAAGGGGACTGCCTTTTAGGACCTGGAATTGCTACCACCAGGCGCTGCAAAGCGCAGCACCCAGCTCCGTTCTAGCTGCGTTTCCAGCATCCATAYGGGAAAATGGGGTTTCCTGGCTGCTGCTGCAAAGCCCTCCAGAAGCTACGGATCAAAACGCAACATCCGAATGTCTCATAATTAAACATCAAGGTTAGAGATCAGGATAAAGTGTAATTCGTTGCTATTGACCAAAAAACTTTGCAGTTTCCAAGTGTTTCAATCTAACTCTTATCACCTGCTTATAGCACTATACATTTTTGTATTTCCCATGGAGGCTGACATAGTTTTGAGTTTCAGCTACTACGGGTATCTGAGAAAACCATCAATAAATCTTCATTTTTAACATGTTTCCTTCTCTAGGTGGCATCAAATACATTGCGGGGAAAGAAAAAATAGACATTGAAGCTCTAAGCCCTGCGAGCAGCCTGCAGCAGGGGCCTCGCTCGGAACAAGCCTTCCCTTTGCAGCCCGCGAGGCAGGGGAAGAGCAGACGTGCCCAGCTCCGGCTCCTTCAGCCCCAGCAGGTTGCAGTGTATACCTAGAAGAACCAAAATCCCAGCAGGCATTTATGGGAATGGGAATTATCGTGCATGCAAAAATCACCAGCTGGCCTATCTGAGCTGAAGAGCACAGACGGAAAGACCAAGACCATGTAGGACTTAGCGCTTCCTGATGCTCTTGAGGTGCCACCAAGGGCACAGAGGTGGGAAAGGCCCTTCCATGAGCAAAATGGATGTCCCCACCCTCTAAATTGCCACCAGATGAGGTGATGGGTGTCCAAGGGTGCTGGTTTTGCCAAGAGGAGCTGTAGCTGATGGTTCTTCTTCTCAAGCCTCACTTTCAAGACTCTCCACCTTGGACAGAAAGATGCTCTCTCACACGTCAACTCTTCTCCTTTTTGCAAACTTTCAATGACAACTTACTAGTTAACTAATTGTCCTCTGAAAGCAGTGGCATTTAAGACCCAAGGAACACGGTTCCAGTGCGATGCAAGCGGACAACATCTGTTACACCCAAAACAACGTGTAAGCCCTTTGCTACGAGCATAAATCTCACCCAAACCCGCGCGCCAAACTTGCACAGGATGATCCAGCTGTCCGCACACACAGCCGTGATTCTAGATAACGCAGTCAGGGTGAAACCAGCCAGCAGATTCATCTGGAGATGATGCCTCCAAGCGCACGCAAACAAATCCAACACGCTTTCCTGAAAATGTGGCTTAGGAGATYGCACCGATTTTTGCCAAACTGGGCTTAGACCTGGATCAAAGGGGCAATTTTCCAGCTAAATGTCACAAGTGGCATCACTGCAGCATGGCCAGATGAGCCGCTGCGTGATCCATGCTCCCACCAGCTCCACCACGTTGGTTTGCACCTACAGCACCATCGATCCGCAGCAGTGGGGAGCATCTCTCCTTATTCCATGACGAGGAATAATAATCAGGGGCTCTTCCAGCCCYGCAGGCGCAGAAAGGGTTACGCAGGCTGCAGGCGCCCGCACCGGGACACACATTCCCYGGGACAGCCCGAATAAAGAGTGACTGACAAGCGGCACAGGGAGCGCGGGAGGAAGGGCGAATAATTGAGACGAAACGTCAAGTTAATAACCCGAGCGCAGGCAGCGCGCGAGGGAAAGGTAATTTAATTATCACGCCTTGACAGCACCAGGGGCTTCTCCGCGGAGCCTTCACCACGACGGCGCCCCGCGGATTCCGCAAGTGGCACTCGCTGGAATTCCTGAATTCCCCTCTGGAATTCTGCGCCTCATTGCAGAGACAGCAAAGGGAAGCCAGCGGATGAACAAACTCGGGAGCAGCTGCCGGTAAAGTCCTCGTCACTCCAGCCTCTCCCAGGGTTCGGATACATCCAGAAGGTGCCAACCTACTTGGAGGTGCCAACTGTGCAGCCTTCAAATCACCGGAGCTGAATCACTTCGCACCCGCTGAGAATCTGGCCTTTTCCTTCCATTATTCTTTAGGCTTAACCACCTACAAAACACTGTCTTAAATGAGAACTAGTCTTTAATCATCAATTTAAGCACACCTAGGATGCCTTCGACCTCCTGCRTGTGCTTGGAGGACAGAGGCTCCGTGCAGCAGCACCTTGCAGGACCATCATGCTCCCACGCTCCATCTCCCCCTGCATCTCCCCCGGAACAGACTGCAGCAGGTAGGACTCACACGGGGAAAAYCAGCACGAGGACACCCACAGACCACCACTAAAGAGCTATTTTAAGTAAGAAAAGCTGTTCACGTTCACTCTTGAGCTGGAATCGTGGGGTGATGTCCTCCTCTCTCTCCACACGCTCTACTGTGGCTGGAAAACCAGCAGCCTGGAGGTATTTCAGAAATGCTTTACTTCCCTGGACATCCCAATACTCCAAAGCTCAAGAACAATTTATCTAAAACAGATCTAATTTATCTAAAATGCAAGATGCCATTTGGAGGGGAAGACAAAGAAGGAATCACAGAACCAAGACCTGAGCTGCCACAGACCAGGACCTGGAAGAAAAGGCCCTCCAAGTCACCAATAACTCATTTATTAACTTGACAGAAAATTGAAGAGCCTCAAATACAAACGGGCGCTTCCGGAAAAATTTCCACCGTAACAATTGTTTATTCAAGACCTTTGCAAACCTCATAAAAAATTAACTGGATGTGCGCGGGGGAAGCCCATGGTCATGGGTGAAGGCCCAGCAAGTGCAGGAGTCAAGACGCCTGCATGTCTGTACTATAATGTGCCTGTTTGGTGGTAGGTGCATGGAAGGAAGAAATTCTCCTCTTCAGTCTAGGGGCAGACTGAGAGCTGGAAATGAGAAATCTTGGCCACCGCTTGGCTCTGCCCTCAGCCTTGAGAGCAAGCTGTATCAGTCTCCCTTTTGTGATCTCGGTTTCTCCTGYAGTTGGGCTTTAGGCGACACCTTTCCAGTCCAAGGGTCTCTCTCCCCCGTCAGATTTCCCCTGGGTAGCTGGGTATGACATCCACGGAGCCTGCTTGTGGCCGTACCAATGTGATGGAGAAACCAAACGTTCTCTGAAGCACCTCCAAGGCTGCAAGGCCAGGGGCACCTACCAGAGCACGGAGGTGCAGGCTCCTCTCAGCACAGCCCCAAATCCCTGTTGGGGCAATCACGCACCTGGAAACCAGCCATGAAATCACTGCACTTCACTCATACTGCTGCACATTAAACCCTCGGGGCTCCCAGGAGGCCCAAGAGCCACCACGGGGAAGGTCAACATGGAAACCGCCGCGTCGGCACTGCTCACTTGGGGGATACTTGGTTGAAAACAGCAAATATGTTAACAATTAGGGCAAAGCTGAAAGGCTGCCTTGTTAATTAAGGAACTGGCTATCAAAGGACTCATTAAAAGCTACCGAAACTGAATGGTTGCTAAAATAAACACCCATTAATCTCAACGTGCCATCAGGAACACGTTCCTGCTACCTACCTCAATGCAGAGGGGAACCCTCTGTACCCACCTCGTGCTCTTAACTTGTGACCAAAGTGTCATCCCATGGGACACCAGCCACTGATGGGAGAGGCCAGGAGACCACGCTGGCCAGGAACCTACCTGGTGGTGCTTCTCCCAAAGCCATGGGCAACCTAGAAAATAACCCACACGTCAAGTCCTCGGGCAGCACCAAGGGCACCTACCTCCATGGGAAGGTAGCCCTTCCATGGGAATCAGAGCCCAGTAGGCTCCAGAGGTTCTCAGGTGGTGCTAGACCAAGAGGAATTATTTGGTAGTAAGAAAAAAAAACCCTAAGAAAGGACAGCAGAAGGATTAAATCCCTTTTCTCCTCGGTGAATGTCCCTCTTGGTCTTCTCATCCACTTTAGTGGTTGCTAAATGGTTCCTCATCATGGCAAATATACTGGGAGCAGAGGGCCAGAACCAGGTTGGGGTATTTTTTATTTTCTTTCCCTTTGTGCTTGATGAGCTTGGCAAACTTTTGGAATGTCTGAAAAGGTGGATTTTCCCTCACGGGAATTCCCAGCTCGTCCAGGATAAAGCCAAGGCAGGACAAAGCACCCAGACCCAGGGCCTCTCACCCAGCTGAGGACTAACGCAGTTAATCTTTGTGTAGGCCTGGAGTAAACAGCCAAAAAATGATATCCTAAAGATCTTTAAAAAAGAAAAAAGAACATTAACACAGAAAAATTAACACTTCGTGAACAGTCCAAGCAAAAGCACATTGATGACTTTCCAGTTTTTTAAACATTTACGTTAAAAAAAAAGTAAAGAAAGAAAAAAAAAGGGCAAGTCTGTTATTAATTGTCCAGAAATGATTTGCAGTTCTTATATTGACATTCAAATAATTAACTTGCACAATATTAAACGTGCCCAATGTCCCATGAGCTCCGGGCCRGGAGCATGTCACCGACACGGTGGCAATGGGGACAGTCCATGCATGCACGGCCATGGAGCACTGGCCCTCAAAGCCAGCTGTACCCTCATCTCCAAGTGTCTGGACAAAAGCACTTCTATTTTTAAGCACAAGCTGTGGATCTGGGGCCAATATCTTGCAAATTAATACCACCGTATCAGAGATGAACAGGGCCTGGAGCAACGACTGAAGGTCCTGAACAAAATGGAYAGTCAAGAGGAGGGATGGAGGCAGCTGAAGAGGAAAGGAATGGAGAAGGAAAAGGTTTCCCCAAACAGAAGCAAATATGAAGAACCACGGAGCGTGTCCGGATCCTTCTGGACAGCGTGATGAGAGGAAGCCAAAGGGCTTTCCAACCGGCATGACTTCCAATCATTGCCTCTCCATATTTTGGAGAAAAACAGCCATAAGGCTTATAAAACCACCCAACTATGGTCTCCAGGTCCCTCTGAGGAACATTTAAGGTTTTCTCCTTCCAAACATCATGCACACACACAGGAGGTGGGCACTGGATGCACCATGGAGGCATCAGTAGAGTTCATGCATCCAAACCTGCKCAGATAGCAAGAACTTATTTGTTTGCACACTTAACCGGTTCATATTCTTAACATATCTGTACACATAATTTTACGGTATTAACAAAATTCCACCCCTAGGACTATTAATGTCCCATGAGGTATCAGAAGAGAGCAAGAAAGAGCCAGAAAAGCCCAGCACTCATTGTGAAGAGCAGAGCTGTAGCCCACAAACATCCCAGATCCCACCGCACAAACCACACCAATCGCACCGCCCCGCTCCACAGCATACCTACAAACCCAGCTGCTTGCAGACGTATCTGTATTTTGCCCGTTTTGCAACACTAATTCCATCCACGTTGCTAAAGGTTTGCTTTGTGGTGCTCTTAATAGAGGAAATCATTCTTCTCCCCCCAAAACTGTTTGCATTATGGAAAGACAGCGAGAGCAGCATGGTTAGCCGCTTTCCAGCGGGGAACATGGGCTGAGACTTGTCTCCACACTAGACATGGCCTGCCTGGAACAGGACATGAAGAGGTGACTCATGTGCAACTTCAGCAGTCAGGAAGGTTTGATGGTCACCTATTGGTCTCCGGTGGTGTTAAGTATTTGATCTACAGCTCTCCAAAGTCAACCTTAACCACACAGGCTACTGCGTTGACTATGGRCATGGAAGCAGCCAGGTGACCGGCSCTAAGTTTCAAACTACACTGTTCAATTGTAGGTGACTTGGGTTCATCTCCTGCCAAGGAGACAGAAGAACCTTCTAACCTGCAAATGAGGTTASATGAGATGAATGAGCAGCATTTCCATTGCAGAGGCCCCAAGCACAGCCCAAGGCCTGTTGGGGAAACAGGCCCTCAACCTGGACCCTCTTCAGGTCCTTCACATTATTTGGCAATGGTAAGGATGGTAAAGATCTGTCTTTTTTGGAGCTCACACTTATGAAAGGAGAAGTAGTGGTGACAGACACTTTTATTTTTGATAAATGCACTTCAGAGAGCAAGCACAATTGGCAATGCCAACCAAGGGGCCATGACGTCACTCTCACATCAACASCCTCCGTGATGTGTCCCCAAACCCTCTCTGCCTCTCGTGATGCAGGACACAGGCAGCAGGGACCGGTTTACCAGGAATGAGACAGCGCCTTGTGCTCAAGAACATGCACGTTTGAGGAATGAGAGAGAAGCTGGGATCTGCCATGCCAAAAGCGGTTGGATGAATGATCATTTCTGGAGAAGCAGAGCTCCTTCTCCTCCGTCCTAGCATAAGGAATTACTTGGGCTGGGAGTAGAGCAGGTTTAGCCCCCAATGGAGGAAGCTACATTACCATGAGCAAATCACCATCTATGAAAGAGACCGTCACCATTCAGGTCCAATCATGCTCTTAAAATAAACGTTTAGGATTCTCATCCTCCCACAGCTTCATGCACATCATTAAAAGCTTATTACTCAGTTCAAGAACCACTTTCATCCCTGCAAACCTTCTGCTTCACCAGAGTAAGCCCACAATAGCAATACCCTAGCTGACCAGAACTACTGCAGGTGGAACGTGTGTTGAGAAGAGAACCAATGGAAGAACAAGGGCAAACGAAGACCAAAAGAGCAGTTCCTACCATCACCTAGGAGGACACCATGCTTGGACTGGACAAGAGCTTTCAAATTCATGAAGTTCATCAAAAGCCCATTTTTCTGTGGCTGACTTCCAGCAGTATTTAAAACCTGGTGGGGACTCATCTTCAGAAGCAAACGTTCATCACGTACGTTCTCTTTCAAGCACTGAGGGGAAAACGTGCTGCTGAAACGTCGGGCAAATCCGAGCTGCYGACAGAAGCTTAGTGGCAGGGAGACAAACAAAAAGACAAGACAAATACGCACGCAAAAAATAACCCYGCCTGACAACGCTGACCGCTGCCGTCCAACACAAGCCCTCACATTCCTCTCAAATGGGACGAACGTAGCAGTTTGGCTGTAGAAGATGCCCCAAGTCAGCAAGTGGAGGGTATTCTGGACCAAGCTGGTGGGAGATGCAAATCCAGAGCAGCWCAACAGCCCTTGGATCTGCAAGGGCTTGGCTTTTTTTCTTTATTTTTCCCCAAAATATCATTTAATTGTAGGGTCACTTGCTTTATGGCGAGGTCTTCCCACCAGGGGCACCCAGGGCTCTAGGCCAGCATGAGCGGCACGTCCCTGCTTGTAAGCAGCAGCAAAAGCCTCCCCAGCACAAGCACGGATCAAGGATTTTGCAAGCACGCCGGAGGATCCAGGATACGCCCAGGAACACAAGGTTTGTCCTCACTTCAACGGTGCTGCCAGAGCCCCCAGATGATCATCTAGTCTTCTTTGAACTAAGAAAATAAATAAATAAATAAATAGAAGGAAAGGCAGAACGGAGAGAAGTACTTTGCAACACTGCTAAGGCTGAACATGGGACAGCATCTTTGCAGACCTATGGAGTATCTTTGAAGACTTATATATAAATATAGACGTAGAAGACGTGTTTTTGTAGACAACCAGGTCAATGGTATGTAGCAAAGCTCAAGTTTGGAGGCTGCCAGGTAAATCCAAGGGAAAAAATCACACAGAAAGAGCGGATTTCAAGACTTGTGCCATCTTCCCTACGTGGGACACGGTCCCCCATGCAAATCCTCAGTGAGGTATTTTTAATTAACCGCTTGGCAAAGGCCAACAGCACCAAACAGTCATGCCCAGGGTGACACCGCTCTGATTTCCCATGGCCATCCTCATGCCACCGTAAGAGTTCCCGAAARGCCAGAGTCAAATTGGAGCCGCGAGTATCGGAGAACCGGGCTCCAAAGCTGGAGGAAACGAGAAAAATAAATAAATAATATAACAAAATAAATGACATATTTCATCCTCCTCTTTTGTGGCTTTTATTTTCTTTTGTCTTCGCTTTGGGAATAACATTCTTTCCATTGGGAAGAGTCTGATTTTCCATTAAATACAAAGCAGCTGCCATTTTGGAAATACAAAGTTGATTAAACACAGATTTTTTTTTTCCTTCCCCCTCCCTGATGGATAAGGGAGACCCATACGGATTTGTGTGGGATTGCCAGGGCCGCGTGGCAGCCAACTGTGGCAGCAGGAAGGCGTAAGGAAAGTGAGTGCACACCAGATCACATCRGCATGATGCGTCCCGAGCATCTACAAATCCAGGCTGGAGGATGCCCAGTTGTTGGACAGACCAGGAAAAAAAACAGGAGGAGCCTGCGATGTAGGAGTACTCTACCAGTGATCCTGAAACCATTGGTCTTAATGGGATTTTCCAAGCGGGARCCTCGGAGTTGACTACGGAGGAGCGGCAACTGCTGCCCGAGGCGCACGGGACTCCAGCTCCGTTCACATCATCCCAAGACCCAAGCACTGCATTAAGTTTCAGGTTTAAATACTTAGAAATGACACTTGAAAAACAGAGAAAGAGAAAAATGAAAGAAATGAGCATTACAGCCACCGTGGCTTTTGCTAATACACCAAACTCCTCTTATTTATGGCCAAGCAAGGAACCCAAGGAGGAAAGACCATGGCAATGTTGAGCAAYGAGTAAGGACCTGCTTTGCTTGCCCTCCTGCGCTGCTACCTCTAACCTAAGCTGCACCATCTAGGGAGAACATCTCTCTGTTTGATGACACAGACCCTTATGATGTGCAATTAACGTGGGTTAATTGCAGCTGTTTCTACCACACTGCTATYGGCTCCAAATAACCAACCCTAAATGCCTGATGACTCCCAGGGCAGCTGCAATTCAGCTCTGTTTGCTCCTCTGAGCTTCTGCTTGGGAACACTTGGGTGCAGGGGACTGGTTTCATTCCCTAGGCCAAGGATGGATTCCCGACTGCCAAATTCCCCAAAGAGCCCACGGACACGCAAAGGGAAGCCTCAAGGAGCTGAATAAATCCAAGCTGCTAYGGCTCCGCAAAGGGGAGGCATCGCACCCACCTGGGGTTAAAGGAGTCATTTCAGCTGCAGTTCATCTGCAAAGTGCTGCAAGCAGACAAGAAACCAGGTACCTGAGAGACACCTTGGCTTACCGGGTCCTAGCTGACCACGTTGAACCTCCTCCCAGTCTATGGAGTCAACACGACTGTTTCCAATGCTCTCCTCTTTCCTTAAGGCAGCCTCTTTCCTCAAGGCAGCCATCAGCTCTCATTTCCACCCTTACATATATACATATATATATTTTGGGGGGTTTTTTTGTCTTTATCTGAAGTGTTTTGGCTCTCAGGGCCGCGCGAGGAGAGCAGCGAGGAAATGCAGAGCCTCCAAGCCACGGCAGGCAGGCAGCACCGCACAGCCATGCAAGCGCCGCTCCGGAGCCCGGACGGATGYGGCAGCCCGTTTTTTGGGGAAGGGATCTACAACGCCCACATCTACAACACCAAGCGGGAGCTTCCAGGAAGAGCCACAAGCGAATCATCCAAGTCTTGCAAAAAGCCGGTCTTGGTGCAGACCCTCGGAGCCGCACCGGGAGCACAAGGCAATGCTCAGCGCCGCGCGGGCACGGCCGGGGCACACGGCGAGGACCACCAGGCAYGTCACAAGCACCAAGGGCTCCCGTGAGAGGCAGGCGTTGAACCAGAAGGTGGGTCCTGAGGGTCCCCTTGGCTCGGTGGGCCCCGCGCCGCTCGGTGACGGGCTCCTCGGCCAGCACAAGGGACCTTTTCTGGTTCAAGGCGGCCCCTCGGTGYGAGCAGGGCACGGCGAGGGCGCGCGGCCGGGTACTCACCGACATGGTCGAGTGGGCATCTGCGTCCCCCTGCGGAGGCCAACACAGCGAGGTGTGAGTCAAAGAGAGCAAAGCCACGGCGCTTTTACACCCTGCCTAGATACCAGATGTTCCCTGAGACTCTGGGCAAACCACCAGCCTCCGTGTCTCCACCTGTGGAACGGGTGCGAGGAGCTGCCAAACCTCCCCGTGAGGCAGCGGGATCGAGGGGCACCAACCTGCCGAGCTCCTTCCAGGGAAAGAGCTTTGGTCAAGTATGGACTGCACTTACTCAGACCTCAGCAGCACGATTTTGGGTGCTCCGACTGTTTAGGGGCTGGTTTTGTTCCATGGGGCTTAAACGAGTGAGCGACCCTTCCGATGCGGCCGAATCCGTGGTTTGCCCAAAGCTCGGACTTCCAGGGCGTCTCTGCTTCCAGGCAGAGTTTTCTTCATTTTAAAGCATTACGGAGGGATTTGGTGTTTGAAGAGAGAGCTCCCGCGGGGGACGCTGGCTGCAGGGGGAAGGCGGCCRCTTCCCGAGCCTCTCCAGCCGCGGGATTGCTGGATACGGAGCCCGCACGTGCCCCAGGCGAGACACCCGCTGCACCCACGCAGCTCGCGCTGAAACCGCTCCTGCCGCCTGGCAAAACGAGAACTAAACGGGGGAAAAAGGAAGCAAAAAAGGGAAAAACACCCCCTTTTTTGCCCGGGGTTTGCGCCGAAGCTGGGGCCGGGTCTGTGTGACGGCTGAAGGATTGCTCCCCGTCCCGGGTCCCATCACCCCCAGACCTCCCCTGACTCCCTTGCAAAGGAGGTTATCGGCATACAAGCCAAGCCGAGGATTAAAGGAAACTTCAAATAACAGCAGAGGCCACCCCTTGGTCCCCCCTGCCCAGGAAAACATCCTTGCTTTGTTAACCTGACAGCGCGCTCGAGGTGTTGACACAAGCCCGCGTCGCCGCAAAGCGTAATGTCAACAGAGCAGCCTGGCTGGAGCAGCCCTGTCACTGCCACTTACATTAACTTGTCTGACGAGAAATAAAAACAACAAGGGGCCGGCCCAGCCAGCGGGTCCCTTCCATAGTTTTTTGGGAGAGCGCTCGCGAAAGCGCAAGGCTGAAAATGCYGGGTTTTGGAGGCTGCATCCCTTTCTTTTTGCAGAAAAGCAGCAGACTACATTGTTATAAAATAGAACAAAATAGAACAAAATAGAACAAAATAGAACAAAATAAAATAAAATAAAATAAAATAAAAATAAAATAAAATAAAATAAAATAAAATAAAATAAAATAAAATAAAATAAAATAAAATAAAATAAAATAAAATAAAATAAAATAAAATAAAATAAAATRATTATTGCAATGAGTTTTTTAATTGCACGAATTCAGCAAACATGAAGGTCCCCAGGTACAGGTTCTGGAAGACGCTCTCCTCTCCTCTCTCAGGAAGGCCCCAGCACTTGCATATCCCTCTGCTACTTGTATTTCATTTGGGAGAGGGTCTCTGCCCCTTCCAGCCCCTCTCACTCTTCTCTTTTGCAAGGAAGTACATCCCATGTAGCTGGTGCTTTTCCAAAGAGCTCCCTTACTTCTCTGCATCTCTTTAGATGGCTGTGGGCTTTCGCAAGCCTCACCTCCCACAACTCCTTCAGAAAATTCATAAAAATTGGAATTTGTTTCTAATAACCCCCTGGAGAAAGAGCCTCAGAAGACCAAATCAGCAGAGCAACCAAGGGAGCTGGTGATGTTCCTGTAGGGTCTGGTAGTCCTGACTCATCTTCACGTCACGTTGCCTGCAGGGTGGGTAGGAACCCACAAGCAACGTGCAACGAAGGTGTCTCCATAACGTTCCTTTATAGAAAGTGGTTCTGAGATATTTATGTATCTCAAAAAAGAGAAAAGAAAAAGAGAACACCAAATCCCAGACCTACCTCCCCTATGAACAATGTAAGATAAATCTACAGCTTCACAGACATGGTGACCTGAGGAACCTTCCATGGTAGGACCTGAGGAACTTCTCTGCTGGAGGATCAGCCTCGCATGAGGTTTGGAGATGAGGTGCTCTGTGTGGGTGCAATTCAAGCAGCATTGGCAGGGTGCCCAGCACCCACACCGGGCAACTGTAAGGTGACCTTCTCAGCCACCGAGTCACTTCTAATCCCGTTTTGTCGGAGAAAGGAGGCCTCGATGATCCTTCTCTGTCTTTTTTCTTTTTTTTTTTTTGGACCTAGTCACTGCCTTCTCTATTTCCAAAACAATTTTCATTAATTCGGAAAGGAAGCATTAATATTTCAGGAAGATAAATCACGGCGAGGCCATCTCATAAATCACTGTGTGCCTCTCTGCCCTTCGCCGTCGCTCCACGCCAGCCACGCTTCGCGCTCCAGGGAGGAGACTCCCCATCAGCCCTGGGATCTGCAGGACTTTGCCGAAGCCCCGAATGGACAACGAGGGGTTTCTCTCCATGCAAGAGGAGAGGGATGGAGCAAGAGAGGGATGGAGCAAGAGAAGAGCAGCATCTGTGCACGTGTGTGGCGGGAGGCAATGCAGTCTGTGGTGCTTCTTGGGTCCTAGCTCCTAGATGTCCCAGGCTCCTAGGACAACTCAGAGCCTTCAAGTCACTTGGGCACTGTGTGATAACTAGTCATGACATAAGAGGTGGAAGACTTGGCCATGGCAACATATGCAGCCTGGGGGCTACAATATTCCCTTTGGTGGCTCTGACGAACACGGACACATTCCCTCCAACAGGTCAACCACAAAGAGGAAAGCCAGGAGGGGAAGTTCAGCAGATGGCCATTGAAGGAGTCTTCTCTTCAGAGCAAAGCTAGTGAACAACGCCCCAGTTGTGTGCTAGTACCCTACRATCCTGGGCATCCAGCAGCATCAAATAAGCAACAGTCCAGGGAAAAGGGAAGGCGCTAGAATTGCTTTTTTTAATAARCATTGAGTGGATTTAATTTTTGAAATACCTGCTGATTGAGGATACTCACATACCCAAAGAACCCTGAACAAATCACATATATACATATATATGTGTGTGTGTGTGTGTGCATGTGTGTATGCACACGTGTGTGTGTGTGTGTGTGTGTGTGTGTGTGTGTGTGTGTGTGTGTAAAAGAAAAAGAGCTGTTTGAGCGAAAGTGAAACTGCTTTTATCCTCTCAAGAGGACTCACTTCCACTAACTGCAAAGAACAACGTAAAGGCCATTTTGCCTTTGCAATAAACCCTTAAACCACAGGTGTGTTTTAAGCAGGGAAAAGAAACAAGCGCGAACAACTCAGAGCAACACTTCGACGTGAGGCTTCCAGCAACACTGCAAGCATTTGGAAAGGCATCTGCAGCTGGGATAATGAGAGGTAACCTACATCCCTATGCTGGTCAGTTTTGAATTACTTCTCGATCGGAGGAAGCTGCAAGTCAACATACTCAAAACGTAGGTGCTGAGTGAAGGATGACCCTGGAGATTTCAGTCTTTCACATCTATGGAGGCCTTAAAAATACCTGTGAAGACTCTTGCTAGGAAGACAGATCTGCTCTGTCCATGACATTTGATGGTCTAAGGTGCCATTTCCCGCCAGCCCATCGAGCCCACGAGGTGCCCAGCGAGGAGCACAAAGCCGGCCCAGGGCCGCTTACCGGGAGGTGGGTGAACACAGCAAAGGTGCTGCGCAGGAAGCCGATGAGATCCACCAGGTAGTCGCTGGCTTTGCTGCCCGGTTCCATGGCCATCCAGTCGTAATCTGCCAGCTGCACGAACTGGTCTATCTTCTGATTCAGGTTAGTATAAATCTCTTCCTCTGCGGCATGGCGAGCATCCTAGGAAAGAAGACAACATCATGTAGAGTTTCAGTAGTGCTGGATTGAATATACGCTGTGGAACTCACAGCCCACAGCACTGACTCAGTCCTTTCCATTAAGGTAGCCCAAGGTAAGACCCTGGAGATATTCCAGAGCCGCTGGGACTGAGCTGTGGGCAATGGACCCTAAGTCGCCCTACTTGAGCAACTGAGTTGGATGGTCTCAAGAGGTCCCTTCCAACCCCAACCATTCCAGGATTTGATGAAGATGCTCCCAGACAACTAGGGGCTTATCCCAGCCCTCCAGGTCCTGCCAGGTCAGAGATGGGCATGGTCAGCTTGACCGTGCAGGACCTGGAGAGCAGGAGCACAAATGTAGGGTGGAAAGGGAGAGACCAGGAGGGGAATTTCCCATATGGAGAATGGCTGAGAGCCACCAAAGAGAAGTGGAGACGGGGAACAGGCTCCAGGCTAAGGAGCTCTTTGTGAACAAGGCTATTCACAGCTCTCCCCAACACAGACACTGGGCTAAGCAGAGGGGCTCTGTCTTGCATCTGCTTTGCCCTTTATTTTCTACCCTTCTGGATGAAGAGGACACCAGAACTGAATTATTCCCAGAGCACTCCTCCRTCCATGGGACAAAGCCCACCTAACCAATTCCCTACCATCATCAGGCTTGGACACTTCTCTTGTCGTCTACCCTCTGGCTACAGGACACAATTGAGGCATTGCTGCCAACACTCTGCCAAGAGATCCTCTCCAACAGGGCATGTGCAGCAGCTCCCTGGGGGCCGCGTGTCCAAGAGCTCTCACCTTGAAGGTTGTGGTTCCATAGAGCTTCGTGGTGTGCACAGTTTCTGGAAGTACATTAGTGATATTGGTTATGAATTCCTCTAGGAACTTGCAGGATTTCTCCAAATGGGTTGTGTTAATAATGATCTGTACAAGCTGCAAAAAAAARAAAGAAAGAAAGAAAATAAATGTAGTCAAGCATTGTTTGTGCTCCTGAAGCCAGGGACATGTCAGATTAAGGCATGCCAATTCGTAAGAACTTTGTCATGAAAAGCTGACACTGTGCAAACACACTATGCTCCGCCACACTCTAAGAAAGGCTGTCCTCCTGTAACAGCATAAGAAACTTAAACGAAAGATAACATTTTGGAAGAGAAATAAATAAATAATAAAAAAAAGCATTTCCCATGACAGCCACTAATACCACAGAAGATTTTCTTTAGCTGAGTTCCCTATATTCAGCCGTCAATCAGGGCTCACATCAGCACAGGGGGCAATTACAGCGGGGTTTTACCTTCCTGAGGGTGCTGGGGGTGACCAGGAGGGCTCATGCCGGTATCTGCGAGGTTATCATAGCCCCATTAGCTGCCCYTTCCTGCCTGCTGTCTTCTCAGCTGCTTTCAACGTGGCATCATTAATTCCTTGCGCATTAATTGCTTTTATGCCCCGTGCAGGCTGCTGTGAATATTTCCGGGTGTAATATAAGCTATAACAAAACCACTCTAATTTCTAGCTCAGATATCATGCCGAAACTGCTCTCTCACGATCACAAAAGGTATTCATTTCAGTGCTCCAGAGTGACACAACTTAACTGCTGACCGAGGGGATGGTGGTCTGTAACACCTAAAGAAAGGACTTTGAAGCATTCAAAAATCATTTGCTTCCGAATTAGATGCAAACTGCCAATTTCCATGTAGCCAGGATGTCATTTCTTGGCTCTTTTTGCCCGTTCATCACTTCACAGTTTATCACTTCATGTAGCAGTCACCAATACTGCAGGAAAGCTACACGATTACGGAGCCCAGCTCTCGTCAGCACCAGACAACATGAGTAGCGGCAACGGCCACAGGTTGGGASGTTTGGCTTGGACTTCACAAACAAAAAAGACATTGGGAAGGCAGCGCAGCACTGCAAGAGCTTGCCCAGAGATGCTGAGGGATATTTATTTTAGAGAAACTAAAAGCCAGCTAGAGAAAGACATGGCTGGTCCAACCTAGAGTTAGCAAGAACCCTGCTGAGGACCTCCAGAGGTCCCTTCTCCTATTCCAGTCAGTCCTTTTTCTAAGGAGATAAATTATGGTTTGATCTCCGTTGGTTCTGTGCTTGGTCTCTGAATAGTATTGCACAGGTAACTAAGAGGGCTTCTCATTTTGATACTTGGATCACTTCTGTTCCTGATTCCTGCCTTCAGATCAGCGGTTATTTGTTTGCCCTCCTGATTTCGTGCACCACTTTGCTAGTCTAGCAAGCCAGCTTTATATAAACCAGTCTCTTAAATTGGGTAGGCAATTCCTCCCGGCAGTGGATCGTTTTGGAAGACCAAAATGTCAGMGGTCTGATTGCTTCCACCTTATACCATGATCTCTACTGAGCAAGAACTCCTCAACAAACACACCTTGACTGGCTTTTGTCTGGATCGGGCATCAACAGGTAGCAGCCTTCTGGTGTAGCTCATCAGGCAGGCCTGACATGGGGATTGTCCAGTTTCAACTTAATTAAATGTTAGATATTGCCAGCTGTGCGACGTTCCTCCTAAACCACTTTTCCAACCAGCACAACTTGCAGGTTGAGACCAGCTGCCAAACTTGAAGGCACCAATTGAAACCTAGAAAACTGCACCTGAATATAAGAAAACGTCTCTGTAACGACGGCTGAACAGGTTGTCCAGGGAGTTTGTGGAGTCTCCATCCTTGGGGACCTCCAAATCCCCATCGGGTACCYGGGCAGCCTGCTCCAGGTGACCCTGCTTGAAGGAGCAGACGATCTCCAGAGGTCTCTGCAGGTAGCTAGTGGCTCTGTGGGTGTTTTGGCTCTCTTCCACCACACGTTATGAGCTGTCCCTCCTCGGCTCCTTCATGTTCTGATCTTCTCTTGAATTCGGAGGGCGGGGAGGAAGAACCTTGTTGAGGTCTCCAAGTGAAACAAAATAGTAGCTTCCTTCCCCTCCCTTTTGTTGACAGAGGGTCATTGAAAACGCGGAGCGCGCAGTTCGCTGCGCTGGTGGAAGCTCTTTGCTTCCCTGAAATTTATTTCTTCCACAGCAAGAGTCCTGCTCTCTATAATGTTTTCAACCACTTGACAACAGTCCCTGATGGCTAATTCCAAGCCACCGGGTACAAATCTGGTGGTTTCAGCACAGATGCTGTATGAATTCACAGATCAGAGAGTGGTCTTGGTATCTCTACCAGCACATGTCCTTGCACCCTGCCCGATCTTCCTTCCTTCCCAGTTAAGCAAACAAGCCCTCGGGGTGAGATATCTCAATGTCTCTAGGTCAGAAACCCACTTTCCCTTTGTTTTACTTTCCCCTCTTTGGATGGGTCACTGCGGACAAGCAGGACAAACACTGGAATTATTTGGTGCGGAGCTGGTAGCAGCTTCCAACATCCACTGCTTTGAGACAGCCCAAAATGACAGCAGTGAAAAGTGGATTACCGAGGGTAACAGACTGGTAAGGTTGGTACCTTGTCCGTTGCTTGGAAGAAGATCCAGGAGCACCAAGAAGAGGTTAGGGCTGCTTTCTGCARTAAGTGGTGTATTACCCCGAGACATGCTATTTATGCAAGGCACTTAAATGCCTTTGGAAGCCCCTTTGCCAACAGGACTGCATTTGCATCTAGGACTCCTCAGTGTGTCCTCTAGTCCTTGGGCTCCGTGAAGCCACATCATTTTTCCAGTATTTTTCTTTAAGAGAGGGAAGGCTCAGGGGAAGGCTCCTCAGAGGAGGACTCACCGTGTGCTTTCCTTTAGATGCACAGCTCACTGGCTATGCAAGAAAGGAAAGAGGCAGGAGGGAACTAAGGCACAAATTTCCTTCGATCCAATTAGAAAAGAAACGATGATATTTCAGTATAAGAGCAGGAGGAGTCACCCACGCGTTAGCTGCATCGTGGTATGCGGAGGGGACGGGAGCTGGGGATAGGGCTGCATTCCTTCTCCYGGAAGAAGGCTCAGGAGGAGGAGGAGGAATTTGCCCCCAAGGAGAGAAGAGATGGCAGACAGCAGGATAAAGGTCTGGGGAAATGTCATGTGTCAGTATCTGCTGCCACAACCGCCCCGGACACTCCGAAACTCACCTGCACGGGGTATTTGCCCAGGTTTAGGCAATTACATGGTCACTACTGCAACTGCATTAATAAATRCTCGCTTAATAATAGCCCACAGAGGCCCCTGCAAGGCATCCAAAGAGGCTTGCGAGTCCCAAACATGCCCCAAGAGTCACGATTTACCTGCATTCGGTTTACCAGAAATGTGAGTTCGTGCACAGAAAAAATAACAATCTCAAAACCAAAAACTGACATTTGAGTTTTTGCCGAAACCGCTGTGAGCGTCATCTTTGGACAGGACCAACCCCCACGCCACCAACCCTCTTAAAACTCCCACTTTTCTCGTCTCCAGCACAAAACTGCCCTGGCGCTTCCTGGCATCCTCCTACCTGCCACTTCATTTCAGGGAAATAAGGCACAAAACACTCAAAACCAGGGGAAATCCTGACATGCGCAGCCCCAAAGCTTCCTCGTTGTCCACGCTCAAGGCGCTTCCTCGTGCAGGAAYGCCGTGCAATTCCCTTGCAGCTTTCAGACCAAGCAGTTTACAACCCAGCTCTGGCCTAACACCTTCAGGAGGTTTTGCAATGGGATCAGCGGGAGCAGGAGCCGCTCGGCACAGGGCCGGGCCTCACCTCGGTGAGCCCCACGTTCTTCCTCTTGATGACGTTCTGCAAAGAGTTGCTCAGCGTCCGCGTCAGCAGCAGGTTGGTCGACTTTCTGATCATGTCATCGACTTCCGTGGAGCTGCAAGGGCAGAATTGAAGAGGAGGTTGGTGAAGTTCATTAAGGCAAAGCGGAAAACACCAAGTGCCTGAAGTCCTCCCAGCCCGACCTGCTGTCCACGTGCCGATAGATGAGCTCTATTCCCACCTTTTTGTGCACACTCGATCATAAATGCCCGGTGCAAGGAGTCTGCCTTGAGAAAGAAAGAGAAAGAATCCCCTAAATTTCAAAAAACAACCCAGAACAACCCACTCCACACACTGCTTTACTAAACCAGACTTGCAGTTTGCAGTTATGTCTTTTCCCAGACAGTTGTGACTTTGGTATTTCTGCAAGCGGGAGTTTGGTTTTCTTTTTTTGGGTTTTTTAGAATGTTTTCATAGATAAAGGCTCTTCAAAGAGAGCTGCTCTGGTCACACACGTACGCACCCATAGGTGCCAGCTCTCCTCCTGGCAGAGGGCTTTGGAAGACAACCCCAGCGCAGGCTCCTTTGCTCCATGCTTGTGCTCTTTGCAAAGATGCTCATGCTCTTTGCATCTTTTTGGACGTTTTTCTGCAGTTGGGGCTCTTGGACAAGGTTTTTCCGACACCCCCACACACACATATACATGGAAAATCCTGGGAGTGGTAAAAAAGCAACGGCTTTGTTTCTTTTCTTCTTTGCAAGGAGATGTTTCAAGGCATGTGAAGGGCCCGACAACAGTCCCACGTGGCCACCGTAAGCCAGGGGCCAACAAGGGCGGCAAGGGAAGAAGGAAAAAAAAAGAAAAAAGGAAGGAAGAAAGAAGAATTGCATTTCTCCATGCACACTGTCCCCTGTGTGAACCGCACCAGGAAGCCAGGGAAGCCGGCACGCAGGAACCTGGGCGATCCGTCTCCGAGGGCTTGGGAAGGGCTGCGGTCCCCGGCTCGCCCGGCCACACAGCAAAGGTTGGGGAGCAAAGGCTGCACCTCAGCGCTCCGTGCACTAAAGCAAAACCTTTTTTCTATCTGACTTTGCAATAGTTTGCATGCGAGCTGCTCACCTTATATGACTTAAGTGAATTAATCGCCGCTATCGACACCGGGGTTTGATCTGCAGCCACAGACCACTCGTATGCCACAAATGCCACAAACATTCACTGCCCAAGAAACCTCATCCATCGGGATGTCTCTGCATGGCCAACCTGGGATTATTAGTATTAATTTGTTTTTTCACAAAGACTTTATGCACCCAAGTGATTCGCAGTTCGCTACGAATTGCACACCAAACGCTGTCGGGCTTGGTGCTTTGTTTGAAGAAGAAAAAATATATATATCAAAGTCCTCATAGATTAGAGCTGACATCTCATACTTCCACCAACTGTTTCCCCAAGATATCCCCTATCTTGAAAACGGGAAGTTCAACCGGAATGGGGGGAAGTTTTCCAGCCAATGGATGCTTTTCTAGACACCTCCTCGATGAGGCAGCATATAAGGGTTTTTTTCCCAGCGGAGAAATGCTTAAAATATAAAGGAGGTTTTCTTGCTTCTAATCAAGMTTATAAAACTGCAAAAAATCTGCCGCCCTGACGAATGCCCTGCAAGCCGTGACATTTCTTTAAACACTTAAAAAGCAAAGCACCTTGCCCAAGCATATCCTGAAGGAGAATACTTGTGGCGGCRAATTCAAGGAGCTGCTTTGGGGAAACTGTTTAAAAATAATGATCAAAAAAAGCCCTCTGTGTTTCGCGCTYTGGGCTGCGAGTGTTGAGGAGAGCTGCCCGCGCTGATGACAGCCGTGTGCCACATCCCACAGCGGCAGTGGTGACCTTGGGGCCTGCCCTGAGTGACAGGCTGACCCCGGGCTCCCCAGGGTGCCAGGTAACTGACAGGCCACCAGAGAAAGACAGGGAAGGGGAAGAAAAGTCGCTGCCGGCTTTGTAGCCGGAGCTCCCTAATAAAAACTAATTCAAACTGTCAGGGTGAAATGAAGAAAGCGTCAACGGGGGGTTTCAGAGAAATATTCCAAATGCTTGGCTGGCAAACCCAGCGGCTCAGCTCCCTGCCCCCGGCTGCCCCTCCAAAAGGGCTGGGAAATCCAATGTGAAAAGGAATTTTAATGGCTCATCCCAGGGGACCCCGGCGGAGGCACCCGAAGGGGCGCTCGGCTTCCATGTGAGACAAACCCAGTAATCCCCATGGATGTGAAAGAGCTCCGAGCTCGCCGAGGAACGCCAGCGGAGGAGCTGGGTGCGCCCAGCACCCGTGTGATCAGCATAGGGCCCTCTCGTTGTCCTTCGAAACCCAGGCACTTCGTGGTGACCCAAGAGCCTTGGGACCCACCAAAGGGAACAAGTTGCTGCCAGGRAACGGGTGAGATCCAACTCGGGGACGGATGGGGAGAAACGTCCTATGCTTCCCCACCAGTCAGCATGAGCACCGGGGCAAGACACAGCTTCAGGCCATGCATGAAGTTCCAAGGAAGGGGAAAGCCCTTGTAGAGCCCAAACGCTTCCAGCAGGGAGCTGCAAGTCCATACTCTCCAGCAGGGAGCTGCAAGTCCTTGGATGGGGTGAAGGACAGCCTGGTTCAGCACAAGTGACTCCAAGATGTCCTGGAAGAAACATCCCCCTGCTTTTTCCACAGACCAACCCTGCAATGAGATGTTCTTTGAAGACTTGACAAGCTCCCATCATTGCCAAAGGTGCCACCACTCCAAGGAGAACATTGCCTCCAGCCAGGAGAGGAGATATCCAAGCCACTCAACAGCACAGCAGCTTGAGGAAGGTCCCCTGCACTTGACTCATACCCAGACCTTTTGGCATAGGCGGAGTTAGAACCAGAGCTAGAGCCCCAAGCATAAACCCATACCTCAGGTGAAGGTCCTCGGAGAACTTGAGGCAAGCGTAGATGAACTCCTTGATCTGACTGTAAACTTTAGGCACAAACTCGGAGAAGGGGAACTTCTTTGGAAACGGCTGCTGCAAAACAGAGGAGAGAACCGGAGTCAGTGGAGCTGATGTGCAGGAGGGGACTGGCCTCCAGCCCCGAGTCACGRCCGTTTCCAGCCACATGTCCCAAGCGGTCAAATCAATCTGAGTATTAGCTAAGTCCAGCAATGAAACAACAAGCCAGCATTTATTGTGTATTATCTAAACATTTCAGCCAAGTGGAAGACCAGATAATCACTTACAAATGGCCCGTGGTGTGTAAGGGACTGGGGTTGGAAGGGAACTTGCAGCTAGAAAGGAGCAGGCAGAGGAAAGCTATTTCTCATCCCCGCTCCCTCATCCTTATTAAGGCAAGTAGAAAACAAACAAAATAAATCCTGCACTGGACAACTTCACTTTTATTTCCCACCGTGCCCAAGGTATTTTGCTCGGCCACATCCCACGGTTAACACCCAAGGTGGGCGTGAGGTTCCAACACCGAAAGCCAAGAGGAGACAGATGCTCCATCACTTGGCCCCAGGTCCAAGGAGCCCTAACACAGGCATAGCTTTAAGGAGAAGCACAAAACACTGGGAAACTGGACAGCCCAGTACAGTTTTGGGGAAGGATGTAGGCTTTTTTTTTTTAAGTCTTAACACTTAACTTGAACCAAAAAGTTCCCTCTCCTAATGAAGTTCACCAGGCTGGGAGCTCCCTGCCTGCCAGCTGCAGAGCGCAAGGCCAAGCTCGCTTTTAAGAGACATTGGCTAGGTCAAATCTGGCTACATGCTCAGGTTTTGCAAGAACACTTTTTTACAAAAGCCAAGATATACCATTTTACTGGACTTTTTTTTTTTTTTTTTTTTTTTTAATATGAGAGATTAGAATAAATCAAGGCCAAGCTCATTAAATGGACACTTTGAACTGAAATGAAAATCAATGAGGTCTCAATAAATACACTGTCCTCTGCTCCACCCGGAGAAACACAACACAGGGAGAGGGTATTTGTTCTTTTCCCTTCTCTTTTTGTAAAGACCCTCTGTATTTTTAAGGGCTCTCCATGGCAGCAGCGAGAGGCCTTTGGAGACGAGCTGCTCAGGTTGCCATCTTTCCACCTTACCTTTTCGAGCTCAGCATCCTGGAACGGGAACTGTCCAACTATTTTCTTATAAATCTCTTCATCTGTTACCGGGATGGGGCTGTAGTTATCCGAATCAAGTATATTTCTAAAAAAAAAAAAAAAAAAGAAAAAAGAGCCAGCTACAGCAACCCTTCTTGCATGTGAAAACCTCCTCATCAATACTGCTCTTCGTGTCCATCCTCCTACCAGCTGCTGGAGAGGGATTCATAGTGATCCAGCATGTAAAGGGCTTGGCATGCACTGATTTATGGCATGCACTGATTTACGGCATGCATGATCCTCACACGTGAATTTAAGTGGGATTTCCCAGGTCCAAGAAGAGCCCATGCAAAAGATCAACAGTGCCCAACATCCAACATGAGTTTGCCACTGTCTTAAAAGAGCACTGTCTATTTTAAAAGAGCAATTTTATTTACAGTCTAAATTTACTTTGTAAGGGAAGTCTCGTGAGAGCACTGGTTTGCCGGAAGGGTTTCATACCTGAAAACTCCTGACCATTTCTTCAGCAGGGTTTCACTGTACTGGTCTCGGATTTCCAACAGCATGTCAAAGAGCTGGTTCACTGGGAAGCCATATCCCTGTTGGTGGGAAAGAGAGTTTCTTAACTTGGATAAGGAAAGGTCACCAAGACCTTTGAATTAAATGTTATTTTCTGCATTAGAAAGGGAGGATGTGAGCAAACACAACCATGACTGCACGCTGCAGCTCACGGACACTGGCAGCGAGCGGCAGGAGGGCTCAGCAAGACTAAGAGCAGCTGCAACAGCCACRTACCTGGAGCGTGTCTGCAAAGAGGACAATGAGGTTCTTCAAGTCCAACACCAGGCCTGGGTCAGAGCAGTAGGACTGCAAAAAGAGGGGGAAATGTAAGCATCTCTGCACTTCAACGCAGTCACACATATCTTTGAACCACAACTAAGATTGCCCATCACTCTGGTCACGACCACGGCGCGAGCAGACAACCTTGACATGGTGAAATATGTAAAGTTTTGGGCAGACTCTTACCAAATATAGACTCCGGGATCGTAATCTGGAAAAGAAAATTGAGATTTAAAGCTCGTTGGAAACGCAAGGAGGAACGACTCCATTAATCAACGTGAATGACTGGAAGAGACACTTTTTCCATTTCCCTGTCCAAAAAAAGAAAGTCAGAAAGAAAGATAATGCCCTAAAGCTATCAGAAGTGATAAAAGATGTCCCAGCCCTCCAGGCAAGGAAGAAAACCCAGGCATGAGAGTGTGGCGGGGTGGAAAGAGGCAGGAGAGCCTCCCAAGGCAAGGGCAACCGCGGGACGGGCAGCACGGTTCCCTCCGAGGGGCTGAACGTGAGCGTGGCGGCCACAGCAACAGTGTTGAGAAATTGCGTAAAACGCCACGATTCCCAGGAAAAAAACAGTCTTCTCCTGGCARCCACTTCAGATACAAAGTTTGGCATCACTTAAAACAACTTGTCGAGGCAACGGAGTTGGTAAAACTGAAAAAAAAAATCAGTGTTTGTCCACATTTTACTCTCATGGCTTGCAGACCAGCGGAAAGCCTCCAACGGGAGATAAAGAGAAAAACACACCTAAGAACAGCTTTGGAGCAGAGCTGCGGAGCAGCGTCGCCAAGAGCCGTTAAACCGGGCTCGGGAGCGCGGAGATGGGACGCGCCAGGCGGGCGGGAGGAAGCGAAGCCTCYGCACCCAAGTTCCAGGGAGTTCCCAGGATCGCGCGTGGGAAAAGGGCTGGAAAACGTTAGTGCTAATGGGAATGGTAACGTAAGGGTTGTCAGCTTTTAGAGCACCCAAAATGGGAAAAGAGATGGGCTGGCTTTTGCACTGGCTTTTTTTTTTATTATTTTTATTTTTTTTTTGCAGAGAAATAACAAAGCAATAAGCTTTTTTTTTATTTTTTACAAACTTCATTATTCTTGAGTAAAGAAATCTATATGCTGTCAGTTTAAGCATATGCTTTTTGTAGGCTGACAGCATCCCATCGTTGCCATTAACTCTGGGATCCGAGTATCAAAAAGGCTCATGCTTCGGCGTGCCAAATTCRGGCTTTTTCCTCCCCAGTTTTCCAGGACAAACTGACTCCCTCTGCTGGTGCAAGCCCTAAGTGATCAACCAAACAACCGAAACCACCAAATCACTGGTTTATAAAGTCCAGTGCACCCCCACAAATGCAAGTTTSGTAAAAGGAAACACAGCACACTGAGAGGCAAGAAAGCTGGGGGTTCCTTCTGGAAAACTGCTGCCCTCTGATTTAAATCATTGGATTTAAAAAACTCATAGGCAAAGAGGCCAMGGAAGGAACCCTCCTGCAAAAAGCCTGTCAGAGCGGCCTCGAGCAACAGCTGAGCAGCGCGTGCCTTTCACTTACCGAGTGCGTTCTCAGCGCCGCGATCGTCTTGGATAAGGCCATCTCCCACAGCTCATCAATGTAGGCTCTGTTTACCAGGCCCTGGGTCGTATGCARGATGTGATCTTCGACTACAAAAAACCTGGTGGGGAGGAGAAACCAGCACGGCTGTCAAAGAGTTCTGCAGGTCACGGAGGCTCTGCAGAGGCTGCTAGCACTGCGTGCCATGGACAGGCAGGTCTTGCCCGTGCAGAAGCCTCCAGAGCAAGCTCAGCTTTGCAGGATTACCCGCTCTCAGTATAACCAAGGCTGAGCGTGTTTATTCACACTCATTTCTGCAGGACTTGGCATTAAGCGTCGCTGTWTTACACAAATGAGCTGCAAGACGGTTGTTCCTAGCAATGCAACTCTGTATATGCACAAAAGCAGAATTTTGCCTTTCTAAATCTCCCACTGCATTATTTAGAAGAAAAACTCCATTTAAATCCTATCCTGACTCTTTTCAAATCAGACTGCAGAACGAGGAGCTGGATACTGGCTTTAGATTTGCCCTCCATATAGCAGGAATATTGTCCAAGAGTGATATTACAGAATCCTAACCCAGGGTACTATTCACTGCATCATCAGGGCATGTAGATGCACATAGTCCATAAGGTTTATTTACCCTCCAATTTTTGGAAAAACACTTACAGGGTGCACAGGGTACACTAGTGATACAGCAAAGCTTTCTGGCACTACAAAATAAAATATATCTCCATTTGCAAGTGCTGAAGGAGTCCTGACTGAATCTGTCCTGCTTTGCCTCCTTTGAAGGACTATCCAAAAAAAAAAAWYMMCMWTTTTTYC